AAGCGACAGATTTTATTTATGATTATGTACATACATAAATACATACATATATAATATATATTGTATGCTCTACTCCATGAATTTGTCCTTTACAAAGCAAAATTACTATTTAATTAACAAATACAGTAGCTCATTTCAAAATTACTTCAATGTCACATTTTTTTTATTTAGATTTCTCAGAGATATTTCCCCGCAGTAAAAAGTATCCTATATGTTGACCCGGATAACCAGTTATCATACTAAATTTCAACCAAACCTGTCCAGTGGTTTTCTCGTGATGCATTTTCAGACAGACAGGCAGACAGACAAAAATTCTAAAAACTATTGGTTCGACCTCTATCGATAATAATGACTTCTTCAATAAGATTTTACAAAAAAATATTTAATGTACAGATTCCACTTAGAATTTTATTATATAGATCAGTGATTGGCAAAGTACGGCCCACGGGCCAACTCCGGCTCGCGAAAGTATTTATTCTTTTAATTTGGCCCGCTATAATTACCTTTTGACGGCCGAGAAGTATAAAGTAGATTCTACTTAGGGCCGATTATTCAATCATCGAATAACTGAACAAATAACTAACTAGCGAATTAACTTAACTGACTGATAAAAGGACCAATAAAATTGTTGCATTTTTCAATAGCCAGATAGCAAGCAAATTGTTATGTGTGGATTTTAGTTGCCAACTTCACTGTAATACAGTGGAGCATTACAGAACATTACAGCAATACACACAAGTGTGTAATGCTGTAATGTTTTTATAATATAATGATTAAAAGCTCGTATAACACAAAATGTATTTTTTCTATAATTCTGGCCCTCCTCTAGAATTTCTTAAACTTTGTGACCCCACATTAAAAAGTTTGCCCACCATTGATATAGATAGTTGTCCGATTATTATTTGTCTACGTCAAATCTACATATAAAACTTAACAAATTATATAGAACTTGCTGATGAAATTATTTTCAAGTAGTGGTTTGTTTTGCCTAAAGACTTTAGCCACTCAGCTTCATCTTACAGATATAAGGTAAGGTAAGCTAGACTTGATTAAGCAAAGTGATTAAATTAACAGAATGGGTCTAAGTGTGCACAACTGAGAGAGTAAGAGAGACAGATAAATCGTTTTCTTCATTATGCTTATACTATATATCTTGTTATTCTGGTGGATAACTAACTTATACAGCTCTCAGATTATAATATCTTGGGTTTGGGTCCTAAATAGAATTAAAAATGGCTTTCTAATAAATTTATCTTTTCGGATTATTTCGCGGATTTTTTTAATTTTGGTTCCCGACGTTTCGAATACTTTACAGCAATCATGGTCATGGGAGAGACTAAGGTTTTAGACGTCCCAAAGACGTTATATACTTGTAACAGACAGTGCATACCAACTATTTAATTCAAAATGTTGTCAGTTTTATTTAAAATGTCAAATATTCGCGTTACTCTAAGAAAGTATTACAAAAATGGCAATTGAATCAATCAACATCCTTATTTTTACTGTGGTAGAAAACGTGTATGGTTTTATACGCTAAGTATTTGTCTGTCTGTATGGTCGTGGCTTTGAACCCCTTTTGCAACAAATAATTAAATTTGTTGCTAAGATTATATATTCTGTGTATACTTACAGATTTTAGACATAATATAACGTAGCATTGTTATTATTTACTCGTGACTCGGGTACTCTACATGCACTTGTAATATTATATTAGGTAAGCTATATATAGTTATGCATATAAGATTACTTAATCTTGTTATAGTTTTAAAACGATAAAATCTCGTAAGATATAATTGCTTTATAATCTGCGCTGGATTTAAGTCAAACGAGTCGTTGGCTTCGTAAGTTTGCTGGGTTTCTTTGAAAAGTTTTACGCACTCTTAGAAGCGAGTCCTATGTAAGTATAAAGCTACAGGCACAAAGAAATAGGTAATGAGAAATAGAAGTAGTAGGTTCTAGAATAATTATGAAAAAATCTAACCTAAAATCTACATTTACACGCCCATGCGTTATATAATTAGACAATATTTGCAATAGTTTTAAAGCAAGTTTTTTTCATTATTATGAAATACTGGCATAACTCCCAAGTATATATTGATATATGTACCCAAATATAACTGAAGTTAAGCTACCTATTTTTTAGTTTTTAAAATTTACAAAGGCATTTCCCGACTACTCTTTTTATATTTTTTCCCTTAGATATTCATATATTTTGTTCGAATTACATATGAAGCCCATATTTTAGTAAAAACATAATAATTTTGAAAAAGTAATATCACTTCATAAATCGTATAAATTATTCACATTTCCACTTTATGTGAGAAATGAGGGTAGATACTGTGATATTTAAAAATTCGCACGTTGGCCTGAAGCCAAAATCGAGAGAATGACAAACTTAGCCTGAAGGATGGTTGCCGAATTACTTGTTTCAGAGAGTATTAATAATATAAATGTAAAATTTTGTGAGTATGGATGTTGTTACTCATTTATGCTAGAACGGCTGAACGGATCTGGATGAAATTTAGCACAGAGATAGATTATAGTCTGGAATAACACAGACTACTTTTTATCCCGGAAAAATGTACGGTTCCCGTGGGGTAGGCTTGTTTTTGTTTTCCTAGAGGCGAATCCGAGCGAAGCGAAGGTCAGCCGCTAGTAACAGAATAATTTTACTATACAATACAAACATTTCCGGTCTACTTTCCCTTTCATTCACATCGATTTCGTTTGTTTTTTAAGTTGAATATTAATTTTAATTGCTTGACTTCAGTGAACTGATGGAATAAAATGTATATTTTGTATAGTACATTAGTATCAACCGCTAGTATGTGAACTCCGCCAACCCGCACTTCGCCAGCGTGGTGGACTATGGCCTGATCCCCCACGTATTGAAGAGAGGCTGTGCCCAGCAGTGGGACATTAAAGATGCCGTAAGCGCGTCACGCTTAAAAAAAAGCGTAATCACTACCGCTTTATGTAGCAGTGTACCTATAGTTGCACACCTGTATGTGTTGGGTTATTTAGTCGTTACTAGGCACAATTAGCCATATTCTATACATATACAATATAATTGTAACTAAGCCGAATTTGTACATTCAATATTTTTTGGGAAATCTTATTGAAATAGACATTATTATCGATACACAGGCCGAATCTATAGTCTTTAGAATATTCGTCTGTCTGTCTGTTATCGCATCACGGAAAACCACTGGAGAGATTTTGACGAAATTTGGTTTGAAGATAGCTGGTTATACGGGTCAACGTATAGGATACTTTTTACTGCGGGAAATTATCTCATTTCTGAGAAATCTATACTAAACGTTATAATGTAAGTAGGGAGGAACCCGAGCGGAGTGACAGTGAGTCGCTAGTTTTAATTATAAATTAATGTGAATTCGTCAACAATGTATACCGAATGAAGCGGATAATGTTGTCAACATGACTAATACATAAAACCATGTACCCATCAAAGTTTTTAATAAATTATTCACCTAAATGAAACGAAGAACATAATTGAATAATTTAATAACAAGCCACTAACAAAAGCATAATTACGATAGAAAATAATATGTATTATGATCTAAATGACATAAAATTATTATTTAAATAGGTCAAACGTGGTGTGTTCGACTTTAAAACCAGTTCAAAAGTAATTATTATAAATTCATTATTGTTTTTTTTTGTTTTATATTTTTGGATCCATTTAGAATATATGTATATCATGTTGAACAAGGAACATGCAAAATAGATATTAAAACAGCTGCTTTTTTTGAAATTGATCAAAAATTAAAAGAAAAGTGTTCTTATAATTATAATTTTAGGTACAAAATAAATCTACACTTATTTATTACTATATTTATAAGTCATGTGCGCGTGGAATAGTGGCAAGAATGCTAGCCGCATTATCCGTTGATTGGCAATACCGATTCATTGAGCGAAAAATGAGCCAGCCCTCGTATCACCAGTAGAGGCGATTTCGCAAAATATAATATCTATACTAATATTATAAATGTGAAAGTTTGTGAGTATAGATGTATGGATGTATGTTTGTTACTCTTTCACGCCAGAACGGCTAAACGGATCTGGATGAAATTTGCACATTGTTAGATTATAGTCTGGAATAACACATAAGCTACTTTTTATCCCGGAAAAATGTACGGTTCCCGTGGGGTAGGTTTGTTTTTGTCTTCCTAGAAGCGAACCTGAGCGAAGCGAGGTTGAGCCGCTAGTACATATATATGCTAAGCACAAAGCCCAAAATCTCAAATATGAATATTTCTGCAATATAATCTGTTATTTCATGAGACCTCTACTAAGACCCGTATATGAGTAGAATAGGCGACAAAGTGTACACGTTTTATACTAATTGGTATAAGTGAGTGGCATCAATAAACAAATAAATAACGTTGTAATGAAATTTACAATCACATAGATCATTCTGTAATATATTCACATAGTTTGCCCAGTAGTTGACATTTAATCATAATCATCTTTGAACATTTGAAGAAAATATAATATGTATATGAATTTACAAAACTTTTTTTATTCAGATACTAAAGCTCGCCAATAGCCACTAAAAAGAAAATCAGTTGACAAACACTGACGTTGACGGCACTGAACTGTTTTGCGTATTCATATATAGACATACTAGCAGAACCCGCGGCTTTGCTCGCGCTAAAACTGCAAAAAAAACTCTAAAGAGTTAGATTTCATACAAATTTATTTAATTTTGTTGAAGAGCACTAATACCAAGTTTCAAATAATTCTGACTATTAATATTTTTTTGGATTGTATTATAACGTGTTTTCCCGTTGGAATTAGATAATACCCCGCGGTAAAATGTAGCCTATGCCACTCTCCAGCTCTCCAATTATCTCCACACAAAAAATCACGCCAACCCCTCATTCCGTTTCCACGTGAAAGAAGGACAAACAAACGAACACCCTTTCACATTTATAATATTAAGTATGGAATTATGTATAAAGTTATATATTGGACTAACCTGTAGCATGGAGTTTTCTCAACGGGTCGACGATGGCAAAGTACCGATCTGCTGATAACGCCGTGAGAGTGAACACTGAAACGCCTATACTGACGTCTTTAGCCGCTTCAGACACTCTGCATACAGTGACACCCCACGGCCAAGATTCCAATGTATATACAAGCGATGTGAATGGAACGCATGTGACGATTACCAGAAGATCTGCGAGTGCTAGCGACAGGATATATCTGAAAAAGAATATTTAGTTTAGTCAAAAATAGTGTAAAACTATGCTAGATTCGACCAATTATTAAAATAAAATACCTACGTTTATTTTTTATAAACGTAGGTATTTTATAATTTTAAAAACCATACTTTTGCCATGAAAATAGTAGCATTAGTTTTTAAGTTGTACGAATTAAAATGGCCGACAGTAATGTTAATAAATATTTGACTTTTACCACACATATACAAATAAATGAATAAGTATCTTTGAACATTCTAATTATATGTACATTGTACATAATATGTAGGATAACACTAATAAAACTTCGAGATATTCCTTGTATATTCATACATATTCAGTACTTTTGCAATATCTATTTCATTCTTTTATAATTGTAGTATGTCTGTCCGTGTGGAAGGTACTACCGGTTCGGAAAGCATTTCTGCTGAGAAGACCCGGCGAGAAACTCAAGTAACAGTTGTTTTTTTAAATAATGAGTTACATAATTTCTACTAATAATTTACTATATTACAAACAATTCGTGACAAGTCACTACAAGGTAGTACCGACATATCTATGCAAAAGCGCGGGAAAACAAATGAATATCCGCGTCTTTTTTTTTAAATACATTCCAATCGGCCAAGGTCATATTACTAAATACCTTATACATAAATCATTATAAATTAGTCAAACCTATTATTTTCCATTAAAACGTTCATATATACATAAAAATGAACAGACGGAAGGAATGAATGATGATAGAAAATTAAATCCACATATTATAACAAATATACGTTAATTTTTTATATAAAAGAAGAGACTTAAAGCAAAATGCATGCTCATAAAAAGTGCAGGCACTTATTCTGATGCATTAAATTAAATATAAATAGTACTTTTGGGAACGGCACTAGTATAGTGTAGAGCTCTTAAAATTACATTTTAAGAGTATAAAATTTAAAAACAAATTGCCTAAAACTGAGAGTTATTTTAAATAGTAGGTACAATTGTATTAATTTTTACAATATATGTATATAATAACATTGAATTTTTGTTTTTAATGTTCTCATCTCTGAAATAACTAGTCCAATTAAAAAAAATACGTTTTATAGTTTCTTTCTTGAGAGATTATTTAGCCTTACGCTACGAACTTTGGGTGTGGAGCAACCCCATGGTTATTGTGGTCTGCTTTGGCAGACGTGCCGTAGTAGTCATCGGTAGTGTGTACCGACATTAAGACGGGGAGGTTACGTTGGGTTTTAGAGGATAGTATTGGTCTTGCCGGTGAGTCCCACATAATCACCTGTATGTATGCAGGTGGTATGCCTAGATGCATTTCTCAACGTTAAAAAAATGATTGGATAAAGAGCAATTACATATAAAAAACTATGTAAATAGAGTCACCAGTTGTATTGAACTATCGTCCCATCAGTCTTTGAGAGCGAAAAGGAACAGAGAGTGCGCAAACACTTGTGCGCTATAATATCTCCTGCGCAGTTAACTTGTTTCAGTGAGATTGTTCGATGTGGCCAAAATTTGCCAGGTCATATTAAATTTCATCATCATGTGGCGAAGCTATTGTTACTAACATAAAAAATTGGAAGTTTCTTTAAGTAAAACGATGCATTTACGCATACCACCTGCATATATACAAGTAGTTATGTGGTTACTCACCGGCTAGAAAAGCCAGTATTACCCACTAAATCCTAACTAACCTCCTCCGCTTCGAACAGGATATCCCGATGGCTGGATTTCCGTGCCCCGTAGAATAATATAAACTAAGTACAGAAGAAATTATAAATACATGAAAATTCAGCATCAAATTTTTAAAAAAAATTATTTCAACTTATGAGCTTTATATGAATACCGAAAAATAACACAAAAGATATCTTATAAATGCTGCCTTTGATATTATAAATAGAGCTACATGAAGTAAGAGTGTAAGCAATATGCCGTTAACTGTGACGGAAACATTTCATGGAAAAACTCTTTAAATAATCAATTTATTAAATATTATTGACCGTAATTAAAGTGCGTTTTAATGGTTGATTTTTTACTCAGTCTTCTCTGATCATTAATAAATAAACTTCTTAATAAATAGTATATTTCGAAAAGGATTGCAGAAATGAGAAGAAATTATGAAGAAAATATGATTTGGGTTGAAAGGGTGTAGCAGGATAAGTATTGTGAATCGGCCCCCAATGACAACTTCTTTTTAAATTCATGTTATAGTATCAACTCGATGTGTGTATGCAATTTATATGATTTTTTCTGCCGTATTCCTTCAATCTAGAGATATGGTTGTATATATGATTATCCGTCAAACAGCCATATCTTAAAAAATAATTGAGCTAGAGAGATAAATCCAAAATGAGGTTGTAGGAAACGTTAAAGAGTATATTCAGTATTTTTTTAGATTATTTAAATAATTACGAGCATGGATAATTAATAAATAAATATTTCATCTTTAATTTTTTTAGTGTTCTTGGTGACCTACAATCACCGAAAGAATATATGTTATAGTACTTGACAAGCCCTACTTACTCATTAAAATTATATTGAAAAAAAAATGGTGCAACATTTAGAAAAAAAATAAAATTCGACGCATCTGTGTTTGACACAGAAGAATTTTGAAAGAAACGTAGCTTTTGCTATCCAAAAATATTTTGCAGTCGTGACATGCACCATTTACAGTGGAGTTTAATTCATAAAATTAGTTCGATAATTTATAAACTGAATATATATTTATGTTACATATATATTCTTAATTATAATCTTGGACACAGGTACATATAAGTATTTTATGATAATTTGAATAATTGCTAGAAAATAAATCGTATGTAATTATAAATACAGTCGAATCTTCCAATATTATTGAACTCAATCATTTAAAATCTTTTTTTTTCAGTGTTTCCTTTCAGAACGAAAAAAGTACCGCGCTGCCGAATACTAGACTAACACTTTTTATCCCCACTCTACTATTATTTCATATACGCAAGTCCACGCAGTCATCTGCGTGACGTTAAAAAAAAAGTATACGCAAGAGAAGATGAAGTTCAGACTTGTCACTACGTTACTCGTTGTTTCGTACATTTAACCTACTCAAAACTAATTGTTATCATTTATTAATAGAAGTTATTGTGATATTGCGAATATCTTTTTATTTCCTTTAACAATAACCTCAATCCATCAAATAACGTATGACTTGTGCCATAGTCATGACTTGTATGATGACCTGCCCAGCGAATTTTATTTTTTTTCTAAATCTTGCACCAACTTTTTTGCAATAAATTTTAATGAGTAAGTAGGGCTTGTCAAGTACTATAACATATATTTTTTCGGTGATTGTAGGTCACCAAGAACACTAAAAAAGTTAAAGATGAAATATGTATTTATTAATTATCAATGCTCGTAATTATTTAAATAATCTAAAAAAAATACTAAATATACTCTTTAACGTTTCCTACAACCTCATTTTGGATTTATCTCTCTAGCTCAATTATTTTTTAAGATATGGCTGTTGGACGGATAATCATATATACAACCATATCTCTAGATTGAAGTGGAATACGGCAGAAAAAATCATATAAATTGCATACACACATCGAGTTGATACTATAACATGAATTTAAAAAGAAGTTGTCATTGGGGGCCGATTCACAATACTTATCCTGCTACACCCTTTAACGTGTTATCCATACTAATATTATTAATGTGAAAGTTGGTTTGTTTGTTTGTCCTTCTTTAACGTCGAAATGGAGTGAAGGATTGGCGTGTTTTTTTGTGTGGAGATAGTTGAAGAGCTGGAGAGCTACATAGGCTATTTTTCATTGCGGGAAGTTATTAAATTCCCACGGAAAAACATATTATAATACAATCCGAAAAATATTTATGATTAGAATTACTTGAAAATCGGTATTAATGTTTTTCAATAAAATTAAAACTTATTTTAGCATTTTTCGAAATACATCCCTTAAGGGGGCAAAATAGGGGATGAAAATTTGTATAAAACTACCTTTTTAGAGATTTTTTTGATGTACGATGGAGAATTATTATAAAGTATACTTTTATTTACAAATGAAGAGATAAAAAAATATTATAGTAGCGCTATGTTTCTTCTCAAGACTGAAGCTTTTTTTTCTCAACTCATGATGTTATTTAAAAATATTTAAATTTGAATTTTGATATTAAACAGCTGTTCAATGAGCTACTAAACTAAGCGTCAGCACCCGAAATGGATAATTCGTACCTATCACTTTTATGATGCTGACTGAGACGTTAACTCTACGACTGACAATTTAAAAGTAAAAAAAAAAACTAAAAATAAAGAAAAAAGTCAATATCTAGTTTATATACTCGTACATATGTGGCTGACGTTAAATTTACTTTATTTAATGAAATTGATTATACTTAAGAATGATCTAAAAAAATATTTTATCATCTTTAGATCAGTATGAAATTATATAAAAGAAAATTTTCTATCAATTCTACGTGACATTGGCGAAGTAATCTAAGTTTGAATGGCACGCTTTGAAGACTTGTTAATGACAAGAAAATTGAATTGAATAGATTTTGTTTAGGCTATAAATAAATAAATAAATATGTTGGGACATTAACACACAGCAACATCTAGTTCCATGGTAAGCTACGAGGCTTGTGTTATGGATACCAGATTGTTGATACACTACACATATATAACTTTAAATATATACATAATATAAATATACACACCCATGACTGGAGTACAAACATTCGTGCTCATCACACAAATGAATACCCCCAGCGGGACACGAACCCGCGACCACAGGCAAGTTCTAAGCTCATGGTAAAAGTGCCGAAACGATTCATTTTAGATTTACCGTTGAGTCGCAATAAGATTCGATGGTAGGCGCTCAGAGCTCCAATGGGGAAGAACTATTATCTATTATTGTTCTTCATTCTTCGGCATACTATAATACTGCATAAGGAGCTATTTCCAATTTTATAAGGTAAAGTTAATATTTCATTAGGATAAAATATTTATAT